CTAAGATCGAACTACACTTTTCAACGTAGTGGCCAAACCTTTGCACATTAGAGCCTCGTTTGCCAATTTTATTATCATGTTAGTTCTATAAAATTTCAAATGATCAAAGGGGTAAGAAGTACCATCATATGTCTCTAAGGTTGGCATTTTAAATCATTTAGAAAGTATGGCTCTATCAATCTCTTCAATAAAGGGTGAGGTCTCTAAGAATTTAAGCTCATCCTCAAATGTCAATATTTTCATTTTTAGCTCTTTCTCTATTACTTGCATCGGAGCTTCCAAATCTTTATTCGATTGAAGTTCATGGTCTATTTGTTTGAATTTTTAGGTTATGGCATATGTGGAATTATGGCTGGGGCGATGAAGAGTTGGGTTTATGTGTTCTTTTTTGGAAGCCGAGGAGGCTTCAACCTTTTCATAGCTCAATTGTCCAACAACAGCTTTTTAGCTTGGTGTGACTAAGTTTGGCACTTTGGAAACTTGTGGTGTAGTCATAGTTTGTAGCTTCTATTTGAGAGCTTGTATTTGTTCGGTGAAGGCTTGAAATTACTCCATGGTTGGTCCCGCCTATGATTGAGCTGGGCGGACCAAATTTTAGCTTAGGTGAGTTTCTGTTTCAGCCAGGTCAGCTACCTCTCTTTCTTTTTAGGTTCTTTTTTTTTTAGGCATTATTTTGTACTCAACTAATATAAGATATTTTTTCTCTTACTTAGTACATCAAATGTTAGTGTCGAACTTCGACCTAAGAGTGTTCCTGTAAATGCAAAAGGGAAAGGTAGTTAAAAGCAAACACAAGAGGTGTTCCCTATGTTTGCACTCTGATGCGTAAATCAGTAAGGATCAGATCGAAAATAAAGTGAGAAAGTAGGAAAGAAAAAAAGATATGAATGGGATGAACCTGGCTTCATGGTGCCTGAGTTTTTATATTTATAGATAAGTTGAGAGGGACCATAAGGAGACAATTAAGACAAGGTAAAGCTGAGGTGCACTAACTATGTCAAGCCGCCCTAGCATGTCAAGTTGACACAAATGATATAGATAACCATGGTTATCTACTGAAGGCTTTGAAAGGGGAAAAGACCACTATACATTTTTTATGATCATATGCCCTTAATATTTTTCAATCTTTCTTTAATTATTCTTCAATTTCCCATAAAACCTATAAATCTCCCACTATCTTCAATCCTCATTCACCTTTTTCATTTCTTTCCATCATCATCATTTTCCTTCATCAACCACCATATGTAATGATGTAAGCAATTTTTTTTTTCCATATTTCTTGAAGTTGTAAACAAGACCTAGAATTTTGATGCCTCTAAAACTTAGAAGAATATTTGAATTTGATGAAAATCCTTCAGCCAAGATTTACCCACATGTGTCTTTGGGCAAATATTTGCTCCAGTTACTTCCAATTTAAAGATTTTGATTGGATTTTTGATCAATTTGAAATGGGTATCAAGAATTATTATGATTTTGTATGGGTTTCAATTTGAATTTTTATTATTCTGTATAGGTTTGAGTTTTGAGTTAATGAACTTGTATGGGTATTATAAATATTGACAATTTTGTTTTTGTTAAAATTATGAAAAACTTTGATGAAAGACATTGATGAATATTGGCAAAATGTCATCCAAACAAAGAAAAATATTTTCCTTTAAAGTCTTCAAACAATTGAAAATGTTATGTTTTCTAGAAAACTTTTTTCATAAAAAAATTTTATTTGCGGAAACTGATTTCAAGTTAGCAAATAAAGTCTAAGTTATCACTAATTTACTATTAACATTATTAGATATTAGGGTATCACTGACGAAATTTTATGTCGGTATAAGATTAATTTTCATCGGTAAAACATTTACCAACAAAATTTACTTATGGAAATTCTTGTCAGTACTAAACAAGTCAGTAATAACATTTTGTCTATAATTCCAAATTCTGACGGTAATATAATTATTTTGTCGATAAATATAATTAAATAAATCCATAAAATTTAATTGAAAAGGGTAAAATTTCATTGGTAATCCGTCAACAATCTATCTATAATCCGTCAGTAATTTATCAAAAAAAGCTATATTCCATCGACTAACGTAACTAAAAAAGCAAAAAACTCAAATTAAAAGTACACAACATTTGTCAATAAAGGCTAATTTCTATTGGTAAAAAAAGAAAGTCCATTAATAATATAATTAATTCTGTTGATAAGATTCATCAGTAAAATCTAAATTTCATTGGTAATTATTTAATAAATCTTTAAATTAAAAATAGAATATGTGTAATTCATTAAAAGTTTATTATTCGTCGGTAAGAATTTGATATTTATTCAAATGGGTAAATATTAAATTTTGGCATCTATTTTTTTTATAAAATAATAAATTCATAAAATTTCAAATACAAGTATAAAGATCAAATCCATATATTATAAAGTTAAATTCATATCATAAAGTCCAAATCCACAGAAATTCCAAAACAATCTAAGTTATAAAGTTGAAATCCATAAAAAAAGTATTTGAAAACAACCTAAATCATCATAATACAAATCTTGAAAAACATGTCTTTGTCTTGCACCTCTTGACCTAAAATCTACGTTGCCATCATCAGGTCTATAAGGTACCTCTGATTATGTTGGAGGAAATTATCTAGACCACATCAATTGCATCATCCAATCCATGAAAGGCCTAAGCTCAGCCATAAACTCGATTTTTAATTCATCCATTTGTTGTTGTAACTAAGGTTAAAGAGCTATAGATGACAAACCACAAACTAAGTTAGATGTTGTTGCAGCATTGGACTAATTAAAGTAAAGTAGCTCCTTAAATCTATTTATAGATCCAAAGCCATATACATGAAAACGTGTAGCTTTAACCCTTTTAATAGTTTCGGTTAATGCCTGTGGATTGAAATCTAGATGATCAGAAGAGTTTTCACCATATTTTTAAGATAATACAGCAACATAGTTCTACTACAAGAAGTTTAAAACAATTACCATTCCATTTTGTATGTATAGCTTAAGCTATCTGGTTCAATAAAGTAAGACAACTTGAAACAATTCACAGCGTCAAGATTTACTGAAAAGAGAAAAAAATCTAGACAAGTCATGATTGAATACGCAACGGTTTTCACCTTTTACAAAGTCAATGTATCCATCAAATATTATCAAGTTCAATAAGAATTTCCCACAAATTTTAAGTTTTGAATTACTATAAAAGTAGTTCATCAACAAGCATAATACACAACAAGAATCACAAAACAAAATAGGCAATAGTTTTTATTTTTCATAGTCATTGCATCTCAGGACATATAATACACTATCTAGTTCAATAAAGAATTTTCAACAAAGTCTTGGCCTTGAATTACTACAAAAGTAGTTCATCAACAAGCATAATACACAATAAGAATCACAAAATAAAATATGCAACAATTTTAATCTTTCACAAAGTCATTGCATCTCAAGACATGTAATACACTATCTAGTTCAATGAAGTAAGGCAACTTGAAAGCATCATAAAGTCATTGCAAAGTCACATACATTGATAACTTTGGACTTATTGTCAATGAAATCACCACATCTTCTTAAACATCTATAAATGCAATTGAACCATTCTTTAAATGTAGGTTGATGTTACATCTCAATTGGCTGCATTCATTTAGAATAATATTCAATGAAATATGTAACAATGCAATTAGCATAAAATTCAAATGTGATGATAAAAATAATTCATGAAAAAACATCATACTGTTCTTTTTCTATGAGCAAGAAATGCAATCAAATTGTTAATATACTTCGTAATACATCTTTCTTTTTGTGTTCGATGGTTTGCTTTTGCTTTGGCAGATATGTTTGGCCATTTTGGAGTGTTTCATACATTCTCAATAAAAGCATCCCAAATCGAAACAGTGATCCACCTCCATTTCATCCCTCTATAGTGTATAATGTTATCAACTCCATGCTTTTCATCGCTAATTCACTCTCTTCTGACAACAAGTCTTTCAATTGATTTTTGAAAATATTGTTTCATGCAAATTGAACTAGAGCATCTTCTGACTTAGCCCACTAACAAATTTCTTAACATAATAGATAAGTACACAATAAGTCATTGACATGAATATGAACTTTTCATTGAAATTAAATAAATATATACAAAAAATAAATGTTTTAATTACTACCTTAATTTTATTAAACAATAAATTCTTCATTGCCATAGGAACTTTATCCTCCATTGGCCAAAGACCAATAAAATTCTCTTGAAATTATACCTAAAATTATTGAGCTAAATAGTGATTGCTCAAAACAACTATCAAGATCCACTTGTTAATAAGATTAGTTAAACTACATAAATTATTTACAAACCAAATAACAATAAAAAAAAATTAATAGTAAAAAGTATAACTCATGCTTATCTTCTAGCGAAATAATTTACACTCACTTGTCTAGATCTACAGGTGTTGGTAAGCCTTTGTTTGCCCTCTAATCTTTTGCTTTGCTATCTTCCCTTCTTCATTAAGACTATCAATTGTCAAGTATCCAATAAGTGATTCATCAACAAAATGATGGATTGACATGAGGCTCTGTAGATGGATCATCTATCATTGTCTTAAAAATAATTCGATAGGTGGATCATCTCTCATTGATGCTAAAGATGACTCGACAGTGTTTCACCTCTCATCAATCCTGCTACAAATCTATCTCGAGTGTTATATCTCTTTCTACTAGTCCCATTATAATTATCATATAAAACAAAAACATTTCACAAATATTTTAAAAGTAGAAAAAAAAATCAAGCATATATCCCTATAAAAAAAAAAGAGTTTTAGTGAGGAATTTAATGAAGATCGCACACGAACCTTCACTAAAAATTTTGTTCTAGTGAAATTTACTTATAACCCTTATTGAAAGTAATTTTTAGTGTAAACTTAGTTTTGATCCTCACTAATTATTATTTATATATGAGTCACTGCTAACACTAACTAAAAAAAAATATTTAGAATTAAAAAGATAGCACCCCTAACTTCTCCTTCTAAACAACCTCCCTAAAAACGTCACCCAAAAACGCACACTGAAGCTAACTGACGCAAAAGAAAGAAAGAAAAAAAAAAAAAAAGGTAATTTCATTTCTAATTACCTTTTATGCGTTTATTTTTAAACATCAAATTTTCCCAATCTTCTTTGTTTCAACCGCAAACACTGCTTCACTTTCACCAACTGGCATCTCTTCTCTAAGGATCTGATTGTTCAAACCTAATGTTCCTTTCTCTCTCTCACTCTTTTCAATTTTCCAGGTCTATTGATTTGCTTTCTACTTGGTTTCGCGGCATTTGTTTTGGATTTCGTCTTATTATTTTGATAAATTGATTGAATCCTTCACAGTAATAACTATAAGCTACGAATCAAATGTGCTCTGTGGATTTGAATCTGATTTACAATTTACGCTTTCTCTGTTTCGTTAAAATGCAAGTAAATTTAGTGGGGATTCTATCCAAATCTAAAGAGAGCGAACAAGGACGTCTGTTTCTTTCTCTAAATATTATGCCTGGAATACATACAGGCATACATAGGCTTCTCTTTCAGGCATCAGAGGAGGAAAAAGAAAAGCAACAAATTTGTGATAATCCGTCGGCGACGATATTGAACAAGGTGGGCTCCTATTGGCTGGGCCAGAAGGCCAACAACGAGATCAACTTTGTTGGCCATGATATCAACGTATGCTTTCCTTCTCTCTAAATCTTTTTCTTCACCTCTCCATTTACTTCCTCTTCGATATCGACCCCTGATCTGCTCAAGAATTTGGTGAACTTGTTAATTCACATAGGGTTTCTTGAGAAAATGTTTCAATATTAATCTGTGTGGATTACTTTATTATTATGTAATTGTAACGATTAATTTGATTTAAAAAATAGGGTTAATCTGTGTACTTATTAAGCTATCATTTACGACGCGGTGTTTGTTTGTTGTAATTAGCAAAGACAGTTTTTTTCCCCTTTTCGTTTCTGAAAATTTTAAATCTAGGAATAATTGGAAATAAATTTTTTATTTTGATGTCTTTTTTTTTTTTTAATTCCTTTAATTTTTAATTTTTATTTCAAGATAAAAATAATAATTTATTATTACTTTTTAATTTTTCCTGTCATCATCACTGATGCCTGGGCCCACTAAGAAGGGGCGTTGACTCTGCTCTAAATCCTCTGTTTTATTTGCGTGGCTATTTTTTGATGCGTGAACAAACATTATGCTTAATTGAGTTATTCGAAGGTTTTGGTTCGAGTTATGTGATTATTTGTTAAAATTATTTTAAATATATAATTTGTAGTTATTTATTTTAAATTATTAAATATAATATATTTTATTTTGATTTAAAAGATTGAATAATTTATTTATGTTTTAATTTTTTCTTACAAAAAAAAAAATTATCCAATCTAGTTTATAGACTTTGGTTATTAGGTTACTTTATTTGGTATTATTGGAATTCACCAAATATAATCTGATGGTAACATATAGTAGTATAATTATCTAAAAACGTGTATGTTTCTATCTTCACTTGATATTAAAATAACAGAGACAAGTTTTTGGAAAGGAGTACTTTTTAGGTCATAGATCAACATATGCTTTATTGATTTAATCCGATATATTACACATTATCAAATGAACTATGGCATTATATATCTAAAACTGCTTCTTTCCAAGTATTCAGCTTGATCTACCCTCTGGTTTCTTATACATGAGACATTAATGTTCTTTTTTTTTTTTAAATCCAATTTTCTTTTGATTGTGATTTATTGTTCTTATGATGTGGAATTTCAAATTCAAATGGGAAGTTTTGTCCGTGATTGCAGACTTTGGAGATTGAGGGGGATGTTCTTGACAAAGTGAAATGCTATGAAGGAGTATTCTTTAATTACTTTAGCATAGGTATGGTATACGGTTTAACTTCTAAATTTTGTTAGTTTTAATTTCTTGTATTTGGAAATTCACATGGTGAGGAGCTGTAGCTTGACAATCTTAATTTGCATTATATTTGCAAGACCAAATAAGCTTTTGGTAAAATGGAAAACAGTGTAAAATTTGAGACTTAGGCAAAGTTTAGAAATCATATATTAAGTTTCTTTGTTACAAATGATGTCACATTACTCATTCTTGCCTATGATGTTTTTCTGTTTACTATTATTATTGTTATTACTATTTCTGGTTCTTAAGAATCTTATTATTTTCATTTTAAATTCAGGAATGGATGCACAAGTTGCTTATGGATTCCATCGTTTATGTAATGAGAAACCTTACCTTGCAAAAGTTCCTATCACGAATAAGGTATTTATATTATTTTACTTTGACTGTAAGTTGAAGAATGTTTTGTTGTGAATCTTTTGATGTTATACTGTCTGTCAAATGTGTGTGTGTGTATATATATATATATATTATTTTGAAGCTGCTTAATGGTAATACTGCCATCTGCCAAACATATATGGATCATCTACGGATTATATGTCCTGATGATATTAGTGACTATACATGGCATAACCAAAAGGAAGGATAGGAAGCGATTTTCTTATAAAAATTAAAGTTTTTCCTCATTCTGTTCTTTTTGAGACTAAATATTCTGCACTTCAGTTTTAATACTATATTTTAATATTTTCTGCCCATCATTCTTTGACAAAGAATGAGGAGGATGCATGAAAAGCTAGAAATAAAATGAATCTACAACATAAAACTGGTAGGAAAGTCTTGTACGTTTTTCTATATAGAAGCATTTCATGTTGTCCCAGTTTTAAGCATGTGCTCTCCTAGCAAATAGAAGTGTTATGAAGTTACGGTGCTGATGTATCAAATATCAGTGCATATGCTTGGATGTTTAAATTTATTTTTTTCTCTACTGATATATCTGAAACAGCTTAAATGCAATTTTGATATATGCTGGACTTTTTCTTGTTTCTCCCATTATTTTTGTTAGGATTTGTGCAAAAGATGATACTAATCTCACTAAAGTTAAGTTAAATTGCAGTGTGCTGCTTTGCATTCAAAATTCAAATTATTAGTTTCTCTGCCCTGGTTATTGATTTGCTTTGGTAAAACTAATATTAGATCGTAATTGGTCCAACTCTTGTGGCAGATTATCTACTCCAGTTACGGCTGCACTCAGAATTGGTTTCTCACACCTTGCATAGTATCTAATTTGCATTATGGCCAATAGAAACCATTAGAAACCATTATGTTTTTCCTGTCATGACAGTGCAGAAAAGCCCGTAGAGGTTGATCATCACAAGTATGAATTTGGCTCCATTGAATACCGCATTAAGGTTTAATTAATTTTCCAACAAGCTCTGATCTTTTATAATAGATAAATGGTCTGGTCCTATATTACTTGAACTGAGGAGGTTAGTGTCAGATCTAAATATTTATCCGACATGGATACATTCAATTTTTTAAAAAACTTTTTCATATATTTAGAGGATTGGACCTCCCAATGCACATGTGTATCTATGTCAAAGTTTATATCCATGTCTAAGCATATATATAGGTCTCCATCAGTGTTGATGCATATGCACATATGACAGAATTGAAGCCATTTACAATGTCTACTGAACCTAAACGACGGAAGTCATGCTTGACAATCATCTTTTTTAACTTCTAATATTCTTCAACATCTGATCCACAACTTACCTACTTGTCAATATCAACACGTCTATTGACCCAAGGGGTATTACCCTTTGCATTGGCTTCGGAATTTAACAACACTTGATCTTGTCATATATCCGATGCTTTCCTTCTATCATTAATGCTTTGGTATGTAAACTTATAACCATTTCATAGCTTCTTAATCCATGAATTTTATTGCTGTTAGCGATGTCCATTACATAGTTTGGTTTGTCATTGGCAGGAATTGAGTGGAGTCTTGACAATGATGCATCAAATGCATCAGTCCTGGTTGCTAGTGAGGCACATGCTATTTCTTTGGTAATTGAAGGTTTGTTGGTGTTGTCTTTACTATAACTTCACGTACTGATGAAGCAATAGATGCCGGGGAGATGAATGGGAACATGGCCTGTGTTTATATGATGCTATATGCTTTAAAATTTTTAGCAAATTTTATATTCTCTTGGTACAAGCAACTTGAATCCCTTAGATGTGATTATGTCCCTTCAGCAAAGCATACTGGAAAAACTGCAATTCTCTGCATTTTCATCCCTACATGCAGCACCAACAAGCTCAACAGGTGACGCCACAATCATTTATGTCTGCACGGTCCTTCATGTTGTATGCTCAGCAACCATTTTCATCCCTGCAGCAGCAACAACAACAAGAACAAGGTTTGCACAGTCAGTTTGGCATGAGCTCTGGTGGAAGCAAATGCCTTCACATGCTGCAAAGTGAGGCTAACACTGCAGGTGGCAGTGGAACACTTAGGGTAGGAAGAGATTCCTGTTGATTTTGACTGTTTATTGCTTAATTATCTTGCTAACCTGTCTTAAGTTTTTTAGATAAAAAACTATAGAATAGTTAAAAAGAGTTTCTATGTCCAAAAGGTATTTGTATATTATTTGGAATTTAAATATGTGGATGCTTATTTGGTTTTATTTATTTATGTTTTGTTTGGAGTAAGAACTATAAAATATAAAAAATATATATACGTTAATTAACAAATTAAATAAAAATACATAAATAAGTATTTTTCATGAGGATCTTAAATCTTTTCACTAAATGATATAAAGTACTATAATGAAAGTCACAACTCTCAATAAAAGTAATTTTAAATGAGGATCAATACAAACTTTCACTAAAAGTAAAATCTTTAAGTGAAGGTTAATAAAAGCTTTCATTAAATGCAAAAAATATAATGAGTGTCAAAATTGATTTACTATAAGTTTTATATTTAGTGATAACTAAAATTAACTTTCACTAATTGTTTACATTTAGTTAACGTCTTTTAATCCTCACTAAATGATAGATATAATGAAGGTCTTATTTTATCTCTTATCATATATTATTAATGAGACTTACAACGAGAGTCTGTTGGAGTCACATTGACTCTTGCTAAAAAAATGAGTCAGGATTATATGGACTTTTAGTAAGAGTTGTAACTCTCACTAAAAGACTTTATTCTTTTAGTTTATAATATTATGTTAGTATTAGAACATTAGATGAATTAAGCAATAAATATAAAATAAGCATATAAAATATTATAATTAAAATAGGCAAATCAAGTAAATATTATATTTAAAGTTACATATATTGGCTAAATCAAATAAACATTATATATAATATTAAAAGTCATGCTAAATACATCAATTACTACTAGAATAAACAAGCTCATGTTTCATCATCATTGTTATAATCATCATCGTCGTCATCATCACCTGTAGCTTTTTCTTGTTCTTATCCTTGTTCTTCATCTTTATCTTATTCATCAACTTTTTCATCTTTTTCTTCTTGAATCGATTATAATAAATTTATCTCTTCACAATCACCAACAACAAGAATTGTAGGATTATCAAGTTTTTCTAAGATAATAACATTTCGTGGAATAGAAACTTTAACTTCTTAGCACACATCTTCATTTAAATCAATTGTTTTTTTTTTTTTCATCTCCATGAATATTATTAAGTTGATATGTACTTCTAACCTTTGTTTTGAACACTAACCACCAGTCATTTAGAACACAACCTATTAATCATTTTGATATCTTTTTCGATAAAGGTAGCTTGTATAGGAAACTTGATGTACTTGCTCAGTTAAAACAAATGATTCATTGCTAGTACGTATTGAATTGTATTTAATTTCAATAAAACCATGATGGGAGATCTACCCTTACACCATTTTTTGTGTCAAACTAATAACATTTTAAAAGTACAATCTTATCCATGCTTCAAAGTATTTTAACTCAATGATATCTTCCAAGATACCATAAAAGTTATGTTCACAATTATTGTAACAACTTTGTTTCACACTAGCCAATAATTCATCATATTTCAAGTTTGACAATAGTTAGCTCTATGAAACTTAAAGCCATTCATAAAGTAACTTTGAATCTGCGCCATAAGCTATCTCAACTAGATGATGATCGATTTCGTCATTTTGCTCTTCAATCTATCCATTTGAAAAATATTAAAATTGATCATTCTTTAAATTTATATGAAAATATATTCTATTCATATATAATATTATGCTTTAAACTTACAAATTGTCTTAACCGTTACGAAAATCTTTTCTCATGTGCTTTCTCTAATTTTGCAATACTTATATTCACATATTCTCTTTTCATTAAGTCATCAAATATTTTAGCATTGTGAATTACAAATTAGAAAAAACTATCAACCTAACAATATACATTGTAGAGCTGACGTAATACTTACTCAACGTAAGAATTTATGTCTCGCAATTCAATAAAATATTTAAATGTGTCATGATATGCTCATCCATTAATAGCCATTAAGACTTATTTTATGGACCAAATGCTTAGTCATAATGTGTGAAAATAAAAAAACTTTCTCTAGATTCCACGACTCTCCCATCATTATTATATGAAACTTTAGTCAATCTTGTTAACATATTTGGATCAAAATAGAATGAGCAAAAAAAGGATATCTTTTCAATAACATATGCATTGCATATAAATGCTTCAACAAATGCTCAATTAGTATATTTTTTCTTGACATAATGAAGAAATCTAGTCATCATCATAGCACAATGTAAATGTTATTGAAGGAAAATTGAATTAATCAATATTAATGACTAACAATTGAATTATATTACCTTTCAAATGGATATATCCGTTGATAATGAATAGATCCCCTAGTTTTTGGCTCATTAAGTAAATGAATTGGTAAATGCTCTATAAAATCAAAGAAACCTAAACGAAAAATAATTTTTAATTTGTAGATTGTTTCTAGAATTTTTTTTAACACTTTCATATGATCTACATGTATTTCAGTAGAACATAAATCTTTTAAAAAAAATGAGATAGCTTAGTAATTGCATCCAAATAAAAGTTAGGCATCAAATCATGAAAAGCAATTGGAAGCAATCATTTCATAAAAAATGACAATCATAACTTTACATCCCATAAACTTGCAATCAATCATGCTTACACATTGAGCTATAGTAGATGCAAAATCATAAGAAAATCTTAATTGTTTAACTCACGCACAAACATCTCTTTTCTGTTTTTTGCTTAAAATGTAAGAAGCTTTAAACGTAAAAACTTTTCCATTCCTTTCAACCTATTCTAACTTGAGTTACTTGCAATACACCTTTAGATCTAGTCTAATCTTTATGTTGTCTTCAGGTTTGCCCTTAACATCTATCATTATGTTGAAGACATTATCAAAGACATTATGCTCAATATGCATCACATCAAGATTGTGTCAAATAAGATTGATATATCAATATTGTAACTCACAAAAATATACTTTTTTTCACCTAATTATAACTTTCACCAAAACCATCTTACTTCTAATCACTACATTTAGTGTCAAATATGATATCACGAAAGCTATTAATCAAGCCAAAATTTCTTCACCTGATAACGAAACAATAAAA